ACCAAAAGGGTGTGGCTTGATTGGCACGGTATATGCTAGGCTGTTTCTCTACCTGTCCCCTTTGTGTTTGCCTAGGAGTACACACTGTTCCAGGGGAGGCATACCCTACTGGTATGTCTGGGGTGCAGGTGAACAGGTGAGAAACCCCACAAGATGTAGGCTTCCTCCGGGTGGTCCCACAGGTTTTAGGCTCTCACTGTGATGGACAATGACTTAACAGTCAAAACACTCACCTTTCCCCCTGACGGTCCTTGCTGAATCTGAATCATCTCCACCCCCTTCCCAAACATACCCTGTGGTGGTAAGAGCTAACCTGTGAACTGAGGGCTCAACCATTTTTGGACTTGTCTGCTACAAATAGATGCTTCCCTGTAAACTCAAGATTCCATCTCTGCACAAAGATTCACTTCTCAAGTTCCCATCCTACCCCACTTCGTGTGACAAACTTCCCCAGTCCCCTGCCCCACCTGGCTTCATTCTCTGCCCAATTAAAGGTTAAGACCTCAGGTGTAAGAGAGCACATCACTCTTTCCAGTCTGGCTGGAAGACTCTGTAACCCCTCACAGGCTTTTACCCAAACTAAAAGTCTGTTGGGCCAGGCGCTGGTGGCTCACGCCTGTGATCCTAACTACTCAGGAGGCTGAGATCTGAGGATCGCGGTTCAAAGCCAGCCCGGGCAGGAGAGACTGTGAGACTACTATCTCCAATAAACCACCAGAAAACCGGAAGTGGCGCTGTAGCTCAAGTGGTAGAACACTCGCCTTGAGCTGAAGAGCTGAGGGACAGCGCCCAGGCCCAGAGTTCAAGCCCCACGACCGACAAAAAAAAAGAAAAAGTCTGTTGGTTTGTTGAGTTCACTTTCTGCTCTTACTCTGATACCCTCATGACTCAGTTTCCTTACATACCACAGCACAGCTAGCTCTTCGTGGATGGCCTTTCCTGAGGAAGCTGTGAGACTTCAGCTCAGTTTCTTACTCTAGAAAACAGGTGCCAACAGTTCCAATGCTTTACCACACAGCTGGGCTATGGGGGTGAATGGCGGTGCCATCCTGTGTTGGAGCAGCAGCACTTTCTCCAGGCCTATGCCCCACAGGATGGGTTGGGCACTCCCAGTCGATGGCAGCAATGACATTGTGTTGCTACCTTTAATGCTGGTAAGTAGGGCTAGGATAGGGCTCAGTGGTTTTTAGTATATGCAAGGGCATAGGTTCAATTCCCAGTTACCCCTTCCCCTCCCCCATGAAGCAGAAAACAAGGGCCAGGAACTAGTGGCTTGCCTATAAACCTAGCTACTCAGGAAGCTGAAATGTGAGGATCATGGTTCAAAGCAGGAAAGTCCGGGAGACTCTTATCTCCAACCACTGAAAAGCTGGAATTGGAGCTGTGGCTCAAGTAATAGAGCATGAACATTGAGTGACAAAGCTCAGGGACAAACACTCAAGTGCTGAGTTCAAGTCCCAGGACCAGCACAAAAACAAAACATTAAGTTCCTTTAGAGCAGCACCTTGGAGAAAATGTTAACCAGATGCACCTGCTCTTACTTGACTGGCTTCAGGGTATTACTTTCTTTTGTAAGTGATGTATGGTTTTGGGAGCCAATTGACTCCCCACACATCCAAGCACTCTGCAACATACACAATGTCTCCTATATTCAGACCTTGAGACAATGAGATCTAATTGAGAAAAGAACTCAGAAATCAAGCCAAGTTTGTCTTATTCCATCTCTTCCTAGCCATGACCCAGAGCCAAGTTCTTAACTGTGTTAAGCCTCTGTTTGACCTGTAAAGTGGGGAGTAGGGTAATCATCATCTATTTACAGAGGTGGAAATAAAATCCAGTCCATGGATGGCACATGCAGGGAGATGTTTTATGTCATTTATCATTCTTCACCTGAGGATTCAGTCACCAGGACACCCCTAAGGGAACAGGAGGAAAGAGGTGAACAGCTCTCCTCCGCTCATGATTAAGCCCAACACCAACATCTACTACCAGCCTGCAGTATCACATGACCTGATTACGCACTCTAGCTTAATGTGTCAAGCAAGAACTTGCCGTGAACAAAAAGGCTATCCTTCTTTAAGTCAGACCCAAGTTATAATTTGGTCCAGAATATCAAAAGCAGTACTGAGAAATCACATCCATGACCACTGAAAGTTTAATTTCCCAACCAAATGCAGACAAGATCAATCTAGAATGTGGTGGTCTGTAATTCCAGTTCTTGGTGGGAGGGTAGCCTGGGTTATAGTGAGACCCTATTCTAAGCAGATCAAAACACCACCCTAGAAAGTAAATGCAACTCAAGCCTACCAGCTTTATCTCAGTTGTAACTAGGTCAAAGTGGCAGCCATTTCTGTTGCATTTGATGAATTTCTAGAACATGCCTCTTACCTCAAAGCCAGGACCCCAATATCTCAGCCCTAGGGAGACAGGAAGGCTTTTTCCTAATGACATACCAAATGACTTGTCTGGAATGAGATGACACTGTGAGATCAGATGACTCAAAATACTACCCTGCTTTCAAAAGTATGCTCCTGGGCTTACTCAAAACGCTGGCATTGTTTTTGTGTGTAATTCAGCACTCACCTGCATAACTCACTTGAGTCTTAAATGAATGACTGACTGGGTTTCCTATTAGTAAGAAGACTGAGCTCATTCTTGGGGTATGACAAAAAACCAAGCAGACATTGTCCCTAATTTTTTAAAGAAAATTTGCTATTTCAAATATCAAAGTCATGAAGGAAAAAAATGGAAAAGCTTTATTCGACTTTGTTACCCTTTTACAGTTTAGTATTGCTTTGATTTTTGAATTACATAAGGCAAAGGACAGGACACTAAAACGTTTTTGAAGTTCAGAAACTTTACAGCTCTTAATGTGGCTCCCCAGCTGTTAAGAATCTACTTTGTGGTGGTTACAAGAGCCACGCCCACCTACCCTTAGCAGCCTTCGCAACTTGATTTCCACACAGGAACCTGACATAAACGGCTGGTGTTAAGGACAGGGGTTCAACAGCTCATACAAAGCCCTGTTTCCCTAACCTCACCCCTTCCCCGACCAACACTGCCCCATGTTTGCTTAATCATCTACAAACACCTCAAGTGCAGCGTCCATCAGATTTTAAACATTTTCTTAAACTCTTGTTTAATCATATTGAGAGTAGCAGCTGTTGTTCAGAGTGCTTACAATGGGTTGCGCATTCTGCAAATTTTTTTTTAAGTCAGTTGTAGGGCTTGAACTCAGCACCTGGGTGCTGTCCCTGAGCCTCTTTATGCTCAAGGCTTGCACTCTACCACTTGAGCCACAAGACCACTTCCAGTTTTTGAGTGGTTAATTGGAGATGAGTCTCATGAGAACTCTTCTGCCTGGGCTGACTTCAAACTGCAAACCTCAGATCTCAGCCTCCTGAATAGCGAGTATTGCAGGCATGGGCCACCAGTACCTGGCTTTAGTCTTATTTAAACAATCTTAGGAACAATACTGAGGCTCAGAGAGGCAGCCATTGGTCTGTGAAGCATAGCATGTACTCAGTATATATCAGCTGATTGACCTGATAGCTAGAAGAGGTCAAAGCTAGGATGCCAACCCAAAAGGCCTGACAACCAGGCCCGTGAACCAGCCTTCAGGGACCACCTCCACCCTGTGATGAAACCTGCTCCCCACCTTCATAAATGGACATCACTTGCCCATATAACTAAACCAGATTCCTCAGTATCTATGTCCCCCTCATAGCTAATTCTAATTACCAAATGATTCTAGGCTCTCAGTTTCTTTCTATATCCTATTCTATGTCTAGATTTCAAGTCTCATATGGATTGACCATAATCATCTCTTCTATATGTTAGCCAAAGTGACTGATGACATCCTTGTTTAGGATACTCTGAATATGCTTTCTGCTGTCCTCAACATCAATCAGGTTCAAACTTAGGGTTTGGGGGTGGGGGAGGATACAAAGCTTCCACAACTCAACCTCCTTGTCCTTCCCTTTCCAGCTTTAAGGAACACTTTCCCTGAGCTTGCCCGTCAGAAGCGTCACCCACCTGTCCTGTGACTTGCTGGCTGACTCCTAATGACACTTCTAGGACATCCATAGTGACACCCTCTCCCCCAAGTACTTCACTTTTCAAGTAGCTCTAAAATGCCAAGATCGGGGCTGGGAAGGTGGCTCAGTGGCAGAGCGCTTGCCTTGTATGCATGAGGCCCTGGGTTCGATTCCTCAGCACCACATAAACAAAAAGAAAAAAGCTGGAAGTGGTGCTGTGGCTCAAGTGGTAGAGCGCTAGTCTTGAGCTGAAGAGCTGAGGGACAGTGCCCAGGCCCAGAGCTCCACGACTGGACCCAAAAAATAAATAAATAAAAATAAAATGCCAAGATCACAGCACTAATTCACCCAACTAATTTTTACTCCTTTTAAGACGAAGAGCAGGTGCGCCTGTCAGGTTTCAAGTTGCAACCCAGAACCTACACAGCCTGGTGTCAGGATAGACACCCATTAAATCTTTGCTGAGAAAAAATATTTCATTCTCTCTCTTGATATGCTGCCTTTTGGAAATATGGTTTTGTTTTGTTTTGAAGTGGTACTGGGGATTGAATTCAGGGTTTAGTGCTTGTCAGGCAAGTGCTCTTCCACTTGAGCCATACCCACCGCCTAGGAATGTTTTTTTTGACAGTGCATTAATTGTCTCTCACCTACAAAAGTCGGTGGTAAAAAGAATATTCAGGTGAGTTTCTGAATGAATTTAAGTCCTGGCTCACTAGTCAAGACTATACATTTTGAAAGAATAGGAACATCCTGAGTAAATGCTAGATAAACCTGTTACTCTCCAGAAACAACACACAGTTGCTGCTCAAATATTAATGAAGGAGACATAAGGATCTGGGTATGGTGATGCACACCACAGAACTAGCACACAAGATGTTCAAGGAGGATCCTGAGTCTCAGAGACCAGCCTGGACTACATAGCAAGACACTGTCTCAAAAAGAAGAAAAAAAAAAAGCTTAATATCTAGTTTAATCAAATACCTTTATAGTGCAAATATAATAAATTCACATGCATTTTACTTTTACATACTGGTAACAAGATCATAACAGAAACATTGCAATGTTTTCCCAAGTGAGTCTTTGCTTTAATCAAACCTACAAAGCATTTATTGAAACGAACATATCTGATAAAGCCATGGACTTGTATCAAGCAGCATCAATGCTATAGTATTAAAAAAGTAAAGAAGACTCAAGATGTGGAAGTAGTAGCCTTGTCAGCAACCCTTCTTCTGGGGAAGGACTACTTACATAATCCTCACCCCAAAACTAAGATACGCTACACCTCTGAAGAGCTTACACTAAATGGTAAAGACCTTTACAGAGGAAAATCTCATAGTAATGTATTACTTTTTTGCCTTTTAAGGAGAATGAAATAGAAATATATTAAAGATAGGCTCAAATATCCAACATTTTTATATCTTATACTTTAAATCAAAGCTGTATGAACCTACAGGTCTTTATAAAGAACTATCTTCACAGCACAGCTGTAGTGCTCTTTAAAACACAAAAATGTTCCCTTTGTGCTATATCCTTCCTTCCAAGTAAACAAAATATACATTGAAATAAAAAGTTCAGATTCTGCATCAAGCATTATTCACTCTTGCCTTTTGATATATAAATCTGGATATAATCAAATTTGCAAAGGCATTCACTTAATAGTTTAGTTAAAGGAAACTAAAAAGGGATATGAGTTTTCAGCAAAGGAGACCTTTATGAACTTCAGCAGAGTCCTTGGCATTGGAGAGTTTAGCTGAAGTCACGACCGGTAAGAACCAGTGGAGCCACGAGGGTCCAGACATAGAGGAGGAGGCAGGCCCAGCTGGACCCCATCTTGACCCACACAGCTGGCCACTCGCTGGTCATCCTCTGGAAGTTGGCATTAGGGCTTTAAAAAAAAAAGAGTTATGTGAAGATGTGAAGAGCCTGGTACTGACATCCTATAATCCCTTGGCCAAGGCTGAAAAACTCCCCCAGCCCCACTGCTTGGCACTAGTCTAGGAGAGTTTTGGTTGGGGCTTTAGAAGCTGTTATTTTTAGGTCTTGTGAGCTGTTTCCCTCCTCTCAAATGGTATTTTGTTTCTTGCCTGCATGAAAAAATCCCACTGTCCTTTGGGCAAGGTTATGATCATCCATTGATTCTAATTACTGGCAAAGACTAGACTGAAATGACCTGCCTTCCTGAAACTTTCTTTCCCAGGTACACTACTGTGACCAAAACACTATGGTATGGACAGATCTGGCACTGAAAAATACTTCTGAACAAAGATGGGTTAGACTACATGATGTCATGATTCTCTTAAATAACTCAAGTCTGGAAGAGCTACCAATAATTTGCACTGCAAAGCATCCTAACTGGGTTTTCAATGCTAGAAAAAAAAGCTGCTAAAGTATTTCGAGCTGGCGGTGGAGACATATGCTAGAAATCTCTGCAATTCAGGAGACTTGAGGTAGGAGGAGTATGAGTTCAAAATGATGCCTGGATCATATGGTGAGATCCTATCTCAAAAAAAAATTCCAGGCAAGAACATTGGACTCAGCTTCATTATATAAGTAAGAGAAAGGGTCCTGGACTCAGCTTCATTATATGAGTAAGAGAAAGGGTCCTGCAGGGATTCGTTCCTCCCACCTGTACCAGTTGGTCATGGCCATCATGATGTACAAAGAAGCACAGCAGAGCATCAAGTGGAAAAAGGAGTAGTTGTACTGCACTCCGTCTTTCTCGTTGTCCACGGCCCGCCGTGGCTGTCCATCTTCTTCATCGCCGGCTCCATTGACCGTATCGCCCAGAATCACACTGTCGCTCCCTGAGAGGGTCAGCTTGTTCACTTGGCTGTTGCTGGATGTACGGATGCTGGAAAATGACCCCAAAGAGGACATATTAGAAAAGAGCCTTTTAGATGAGTTTAGATTGAGTTTTCACTCCCTCTGACCCATGTGCATAAAGTTTATCTCTGTGAGATGCTCTGAACACCAAAGGCCTTTGACCTGCTGCTGGCTGTTATAAGACTATCAGTACTTACGTGAGCTACGACTACTTGATGACTGGATTCCCAAAGTATACTATGCCTGCAGTGTCTGGTTAGTGACTTGAAAAGTGCCTCTTCTATACTCGGAAATCACCCACTACCCTCTTCTCAGCTCATGCCACTTCTCTGATTCATTGCCATGTCTTCAGGAAAGCTTTCCCTGGCACTGGTCCTCTCCCGAAGGCTGGGTAGAAGCCTCCGCCCACTTCTCCCAGCTCCCTGGGGATCCTGCCTCAGCACTTGTCATTCCTGCCTTACTTGTTATGAAGGAAGTCCTTAACAATAGTCATAATGTCATCTCTGTACAAACAAACCTGAGTTCAACGACATGAATAAAGGACAAAAACTAGGGGCTGGGAAGGTGGCTCAGTGGTAGAGTGTTTGCCTTGCATGCATGAGGCCCTGGGTTCGATTCCTCAGCACCACAGAAGCAAAAAGAAAAAGCCGGAAGTGGCGCTGTGGCTCAAGTGGTAGAGCGCTAGCCTTGAGCTGAAGAGCTGAGCGACAGCGCCCAGGCCCAGAGTTCAGGCCCCACGACCGGACCCCCTCCCCAAAAAAAGGACAAAAACTACAATAATACAGGACTTTTTCATATTGATAAAACACACCATTTATTTTTTTACTTTTTTGGTCTGAGATTGGAACTTGAGCTCGGTACCTGATATTTTTTGCTCACTGGCTAGTAGTGCTCTAACCAACGAAGCCATGCCTCCATCCCTAAACATAGCAATTAAAAAATAGAGAAAAAAGAAAGAGAGCTAACATCACACTTAATGGTAAAAAACTATTTCTTGGGGCTGGGAAGGTGGCTCAGTGGTAAAAGCGCTTGCCTTGCATGCCAGAGGCCCTGGGTTCGATTCCTCAGCACCACATAAGCAAAAAGAAAAAAGCCGGAAGTGGCGCTGTGACTCAAGTGGTAGAGCGCTAGCCTTGAGCTGAAGAGCTGAGGGACAGCGCCCAGGCCCAGAGTTCAGGCCCCACAACCGGACCCAAAAAAAAAAAACCTATTTCTTCTAGAACAGGAATAAGACAAGGATCTCACAGTTGATTTTTCTGTCCAACTTCTGCCATAAGTTCTACTTTAAGCCTGTGTTGTACAACCTACCCACAGGCCTAACTACTGAGCTATACACCCATTATGAAAATGTTTTAAAATTTATTGTGGTAAAATTGATTATATAAACCTTGTAATTATACTAATAAAACTACTAAACCAGATTATTTTATTTTATTTTTGGGTCCGGTCGTGGGGCCTGAACTCTGGGCCTGGGCGCTGTCCTTCAGCTCTTCAGCTCAAGGCTAGCACTCTACCACTTGAGCCACAGCGCCACTTCCGGCTTTTTCTTTTTGCTTATGTGGTGCTGAGGAATTGAACCCAGGGCCTCATGTATGCAAGGCAAACGCTCTACCACTGAGCCACCTTCCCAGCCCCGTAAACTAGATATATTTTAGAAGGATAAATTTTATGATATCTGAATAAAAATTAAACATTAAATAAAAAATTAAAACCTCAGGTCAAAAAGCAGAACAAAGTCATAGGTAATTCAGAAACAATGAATATATGCCTGTATTCTAATAAAACTTTATTTACAAAGATAGCTAGACAGTCCAAGAGCTACAGTTTACCAAATCTTTTTTTTTTTTTTTGCCAGTCCTGGGGTCTGAACTCAGGGCCTATACTTCAGCCTCTTTGTGCTCAAGGCTAGCATTCTACTACTTGAGCCACAAGCGCCACTTCTGGCTTTTTCTGAGTAGTTTGTTGGACTTTCCTGCCTAGGCTAGCTTTGAACCATGATCCTCAGATCTAGCCTTCTGAGTAGCTAGGATTACAGGCATGATCCACTGGTGCCCAGCTTAGTTTTCCAATTCTTATTTATATATATATATACACACTTTTACAGAGTACTACTGTATCTATATACTACTACCAACAAAGGAAAAAGCCTGAAATACTATGTAATAAATGTACTTCACGGGAAAAATGGATTTTGGAGGGAAGGGCACCTTCATTTTCTACTTAATACATATTTTTTCTTATTTTACCAACTTACATAAAAGAATTTGTCCTTTCCTATTTCAATTATTTCATATTAAAGTAATCCTACAGTAATGCTACTGTACAAAAAAGTATCAGTGAAGTGGCTGGGTATAAGTAAGTTAAACCTGGAGTTTTGTTTGATTAACTATGGAACTTTTTGGGAGCAGTACTGGGGTTTGAACACAGGGGCTTCTGAGAGCCATGTTGGCGCTTTATTACCTGAACCACATTCCCAACCCTGTCTCAGTTTTCTTTCAATAGTTTATGCCCTGGTCAACCTGGATTTTAATCCTCCTACTTATACTTCTCTTCTAGCTGGAATGACAGGAGCATCCCCACCACAATCAGCTTTACTGATTGAGAAGGGAGGAGGGGGTCTCACAAACTTTTGGCCTGGTCTGGCCTCAAACTTCAATTCTCCCAATCTCTACCTTCTCCGTACCTTGGATTTCAGAGCACCTAAAACCCTAAAATGGCTAGTTCACTGTTATTAGTAATTTGTATGAGAATTGTACGATGTATTTTTTTCACTTACCTAGAATACACAAGGCAGCAAAAAAGGACTAACAGCCCACAAACACCATTTGCATCCATAAAGTGGCTATTTGTTGATGGGGGAGCAGTGGTGGGGGCTACAGTGGTTGAATTTACAGACTTTGGGGTTGGTGCAGCTATGTTTGTAATGATGCTCAGCAGGGCAGGGTTGCAGGAACGATCTAAAAACAAGATGTTTTCAATTATTTTCTTGCCATTCAGTCATGATGTGAAAGATGAGAATGCTACACATGAAAGAACTGAAAATTCAGGGCTGGGAAGTTGGCTTAGTGGTAGAGCGCTTGCCTTGCATGCATGAGGCCCTGGGTTCGATTCCTCAGCACCACATAAGCAAAAAGAAAAAAGCCAGAAGTGGCACTGTGGCTCAAGTGGTAGAGTGCTAGCCTTGAGCTGAAGAGCTGAGGGACAGCACCCAGGCCCAGAGTTCAGGCCCCACGACCGGACCCAAAAAAAAATAAAAGAAAAGAACTGAAAATTCAGCAATCAGTAATGAGATTGTGTTGCAAGTGGCAATTTAGTTCTAGGAAAAGAAAAGATAGTATTTGTCAAATTTCACATGGGTTCCTCAAGATTCATTGGTTGTGTACTTTAACAGACAAACCCTTTTAGTTCTTTGCCCAAGTTTTGCACACTTTTTAGTTTTAACATATTTTTAATTTTTTGTTGTTATTATAATAAAGGTGATGTATAGAGGGGTTACAGTTATGAAAATCAGGAAAAAAGTACATTTCTCTTTGGACAATGTCACCCCTTCTCTTGCTCTGTTTTCCCCTCCCATTCCTACCTATAAGTTGTATAGTTTATTTTCACAGTGTCCAGTGACAGTTTTAACACACTTTATATAATAATTAATTTATCATTGGGGTGGAGGGGTTCCTGCAAAAACCATTTTAACTTTAAAAGGAGTTAACAGGAGAAATAAGCCTCTAGGCCAGACAACTATGCGCCATGCCTGTAATCCTAGCTACTCAGGAAGCTGACATCAGAGGATCATGGTTCAAAACCAACAGGGTGCTGGTGGCTCATGCCTGTAATCCTAGCTATTTAGAAGGCTGAGATCTGAGGACTGTGGTTCAAAGCCAGCCCAAGCAGGATGTCCATGAGACTCTTACCTCCAATTAACCACCAGAAAACAGGAAGTGGTGCTGTGGCTCAAGCAGTAGAGTGCTAGCCTTGAGCTGAAGAGCTGAGGGACAACATTCAGGCACAGAGTTCAAGACCCATGACCAAAAAAAACCCAAAACAGCCAGTGCAGGAAATTCCATGAGACTATTACCACCACCTAACCACAAAAAAGCCAGAAGTATAGCTGTGGTTCAAGTGGAAGAATACTAGGCCTTGAGCATGAAAGCCTTTGTTCAAGCCCAGACCAGAGCCAGGAAAGAAAAAAAAGGAAAGAAATATCCTCTATCACCTTTATAATAATAACAATAAAAATTATTTCTAAATAAATTATATTGAAAGAAAATTTCCCCTTGTTGTTTCTGCTAGAGCTTGATCCAAAAGTAAACTTCACTTAAATCAATTCTAACAAAGGATCAAAACAATCCAAAGCTCAACTAGTCCAGGTAAAATAAGGCCCAGTCTTCTGAAGGACTGCAGAGCGTCAGCCTGCTAGTCTGAATAATTATGGATAGATGTGGGGAATAAAACATAAAAGGAGCCAGGTGTTGGTGGCTCACCCCTGTAATCCTAGCTACTCAGGAGGCTGAGATCTGAGGATGAAGGTTCAAAGCCAGCCCAGGCAAGAAAACCTGTAAGACTCTTATCTCTAATAAACCACCAGAAAACTGGAAGTGGGGCTTGTGGCTCAAGTGGTAGAGTGCTAGCCTTAAGCTGAAGAGCTCAGGGACAGCGCCCAGGCCCAGAGTTCAAGCCCCATGACCAACAACAACAACAACAACAAAAATATGTGAAAACCTATGGTAAACCACTGTAATTGATGTGTTTGACATTTTCTCCAGAAATGTCAATCTACATTTAGCTCTAGTTTTTGTACTCACCAAAGGAGTACTTTGCTACTTTCATCACTGAGTTATTGACAGTCCCTTACCAGGTTCATTGGTCATGGCTGACCATGTGAGGTAGATGGTGTAGAGAGTGATGATAGAAGACTGCAGGAGGCCAGAATGAGGCTGGTGTTCCTATGGAATCAAAAGGAAAACAAAACCATGTGTATTGTTCTAAAAGTTTTAGTCCATTGTGGGGCTTAGGCGCTGTCCCTAATCTCCAATTAACTACCAGAAAAGGAGAAGTAGAGCTGTGGCTCAACAGTGGTAGAGTGTTAGCCTTGAACAGAGAGCTCAGGGACAATGCCTGGGCCCTGAGTTCAAGTGCCCCCCCCCCCCCAAAAAAAAAGGAGCATGCATTTTGTTAATATTAAAATCAATTAGGGCAGGGAAGGTGGCTCAGTGGTAGAATGCTTTCCCCGCACACATGAGGCCCTGAGTTTGATTCCTCAGCACCACATAAGCAGACTGAGACAGCACCGAAGCCCAGAGTTCAGGCTCCACGACCGACCAAAAAAATAATAATAATTTAAAAAAAAATCAGGGCGGGGGTGTGTGGAGATGGGAAGGGATGGGAAAGGCAAACAAAGGAGGAGGCAACAATGTTTGATAAGAAATGTACTCATTACCTTGCTCATGTAATTGTAACCCCTCTGTATTTTCACAATAAAATAAATAATCAATTACTCTAATCTAATTGCCTTAAAAAATTGGCTAACAACTATTAAGAACCATTCCCAAGATTTAAATACTTTTAAAAGAACTACAGTTTCTCAACCTGTCTAGATTATTAATGACACAGAAAAAAAAAAACAAGTAAATTCTTAGTGGTTAAATAATTAAGAAAATGTTTTCATTATATAGAAAAATATTTAAGTGGGGAAAACTCAAATATAAATTCACTAAGTTACACAGGTTCTAAGTTTAGAATTAACTAAAAACCTTTCACACGAGGAAGAAGCAGAAAACCACCATACCTGAACTTTTGGGAGGATGGATACAACAGAAACCACAACACAGAGAATCAAGTTAATACTGATGAAGAATTTGTTTTCTGTGCAGCCATCTGGCTTGGTGTAGAATTTGTAGAGGAGCCCAACAGAGATGATTGCCAGGATATAAAACAAGCTTGTAACAGAGAGTAAAACTAGAAAAAGAGAGACCAGTAAGAATGACCACAATTATACTAAAGTTAATGAAGTCCAATTTTTCTTCTTTGCTATACAAGAGATACTGACTCACTATTATGGTAACTAATAATTGTAACAAGATTTAAAAGCCCCAAGATTAGTTTCATATTGTGTTAAACTGACTCATTGTTAAATACCAAAACCCACCAAGCAACTGAGTTCACTATCTAGATTATTTGATTTTATAGGTTGGATGATCAATCTTCAAATCATTAAGGTCTTCTACAGTTGTATGATTCTGATTTTGTTTTGAGGACATGGTTTTGGTAGATAGCTCATGCTGGCCTGGAACTCACTACATAACCCAAATTTATGGCCTAAACTTCTCATCTGCCAACCTCCAAAGAATTGGGATTTACTAACATGAACCATCGCATCACAGCTGGCCCAAAATGAGTTTTTAATTTTTTATTTAAATTAGAAGAATTATTTTTAAAAAGTGATAAAGTAAAATAAAATTTTTATTAGTCTGAAGAAAGGAATTTAGATTGTCAGCACCAAATGCATAGTACTAATACACGTAATTTTATGATTTCACTATTAATTTTTATACACAAATACACATATGTACATTAAAAAAGGACTAGAAGAAAACATATCTCGTGTGTGTGTGTGTGTGTGTGTGTGTGTGTGTGTGTGTGTGTGTGTGTGTGTGTGTGTGTGTGTGTGTGTGTGTGTGTGTGTGTGGTGGAGCTTGAACTCAAGGCCTGGGTGCTGTCCCTGAGCTCTTTTGCTCAAGGCTAGCAGTCTACCATTTTGAAACCCAGCTTCACTTCTGGTTTTTGAGCAATTTTTTGGAGCTAAAAGTCTCAAGGGGACTCTTCTGCTCAGGCTGGCTTTGAACCTTGATCCTCAGATCTCAGCCTCCTAAGTAGCTAGGATTAAAGGTATGATCCACTGGTACCCAGTCAGATTAATATCTTAACAGTGAGAAATTATTTGATAGCTGGATTATTGGAGAAAATGTTTTCTTTTTGGGTGGGAATTGAACTCAGGACCTTGTACGTGTTAAACATATATATATATATATATATATATATATATATATTCCATCACTCAGCTACATGATGGGCCCCAGAAATTTTGTTTCTCAAGTTCTTCACACAGAGCACCTATTATTTGTAAATGAAGAAATCTCATATTTATTCATTTGCCAGGCTAACCCAAACTTACTATGTAGTCTAGACTGGCCTCAAACTTAAGATCCTCCTTCCTTGGCCTCCCAAGTTCTAAGGTACACCATGTCTGACTTAGGCAGGTGTTCCTTCTAGGCCTCTCAACCATTATTTTTCAAATGGCTAGGCCAGATCACTGTTGCTAATAAGTAGATGGTTGAAGAGTTCTCTTCCCATCACCAAATTCCCATCATCAAATAGGCTATAAAGTCCAACTCCTAACTTATAAGAAGTATTTTTCTTTTATTTGGCAATACTGAGGTTTTGGGGGGGTTTTTTTGGTCATAGGGCTTGAACTCTGGGCCCAGGCACTGTTCTTGAGATTTTATGCTCAAGGCTAGCATTCTACCACTTGAGTCACAACTCCACTTCTATATATGAGTCTCAAGGACTTCCTGCCCAGTCTTGCATCGAAACATGATCCTTAGATGTCAGCCTCCTGCGTAGCTAGGATTACAGGCATGAGCCACCAGCACCTGGCTGAAACTAGAAATTTTTAAGTACCCTTTTCCCAACAGAAAACTTTTATAAGAGATATGGAGTCACACTTTGATTAAAACAAAGGGCTGTCACCCCTACTGGCCTGAAATATATAAAAAGCCATCCAGTTGAGTTTCCTACTCATGAAAACAGTATATCAAAACTACTAAATGTGTGACTACTAACAGGCCACAACATATAACTTCTGGTCTTCATCAAAAACAAGTATTTACATTACAAATACAAAAATAAATTAACTGAAGGAACCCAATGACTTAAAATTTATGTGCTTGAGCAAAAAAGCTCAGGCACAACGGCCAGGCTCTGATGGGTTCAAACCCCAGGAGGACCAGAAAAAAAAAGTTACTCCTTTCCAGCAATGTAAACAATTCACAATGGAGATTAGAGCTTTTGTAAAAGGTAGCTCCAGTGGTACAGGATGGTATACATCTGTTATCCCAGCTACCTGGGAGGCAAAAAAGCTGGGCATAGTGAGATCCTACAGCAAAATTAATCAGCATAAAGCCCAGCACCGGTGGCTCACACCTGTAATCCTAGCTATTCAGGAAACTGAGATCTGAGGATGAAGGTTCAAAGCCAGCCCAGGCAGGAAAGCCCGTGAGACTCTTATCTCCAATAAATCACCAGAAAACCGGAAGTGGTGCTGTGGCTCAAGTGGTAGAGTGCTTGCCTTGAGCTGAAGAGCTTAGGGCCAGTGCCCAGACCCAGAGTTCAAGCCCTGTAACTGACAAAAAAAAAGAGAGAGAGAGAGACTGGAGGGGTGGGAATAAAGCTTAGTGGTGGTAGAGTACTTGCCTAGAATGCATGAAGCCCTGGGTTTGATTCCTCAATACCACATAAACAGAAAAATCTGGAAGTGGTGCTGTGGCTCAAGTGTTAAGAGTACTAGCCTTGCCAGGCGCTGGTGGCTCACGCCTGTAATCCTAGCTACTCAGGAGGCTGAGATCTGAGGATCGCAGCTCAAAGCCAGCCTGGGCAGGAGAGACCGTGAGACTCCTATCTCCAATAAACCACCAGAAAACCGGAAGTGGAGCTGTAGCTCAAGTGGTAGAGCGCTCGCCTTGAGCTGAAGAGCTGAGGGACAGCGCCCAGGCCCAGAGTTCAAGCCCCACGACCGACAAAAAAAAAAAAAAAGGGTACTAGCCTTGAGCAAAGGAAGCTCAGGGACAGTGCCCAGGCCCTGAGTTCAAGTTCCAGGACTAGCAAAAAAAAAAAAAAGAGAGACTGGAGATGTGGCTCAAGCTTAACAAGTTTGAGGTCCTGAGCTCAAATCCCAGTACTACCAAAAAAAAAAATCAGCCAACCAATAACCAAAGCAAAAAGGACTAGAGATGTGGTTCAAGAGGGAGAGCACCTGCCTAGCAAGTGAAATGTCCTAAGTTCAAACCCAGCACTGCCAAAAGGAGGAGAGAGTACAGATCTATATTGAGGGTTCATATACTTAAATTACTGGAGATTTTCTTGTTAACCTATGGCTCTCAAATGTGAATTTAGATACTTACCAGCATACCACACCCTTGGGTTTCCTTCTTCCATGCGATTTACCCATGACTCATTCCAAGAGTGAGCCAAGTCAACCAAGAGCACCAGCTGGATGAAGATGAAGAAAGCAGCCCCCACCATGCCAACAATAAACCAGACTACAAACCAAGAACAAAGAGTTACTCTTAGCCATAGGAATAACATTTCAGAATATTACTAGTCAAGTAAGTGGGAGCCATAAAGCCATCCTGGCTCTAGCAGTACAACAGGGCATCATAATTCCAAAGTCAAAGTATCCTCTGAGAAGTGTTCTTTGGGGTTTCAGACCTTTCTAAGGGAAGTGTAGGGCCTGACATTCCAAATAAGTCTTTTCCTTCACTTGGGGGTGGGGGGAGAAAGAAGAGGGCGAATGATAAGGAAAATCCTCAGTCTGGGAATGTGGCTTAGTGGTAGAGTGCTTGCTTACCATGGAAGAAGCCCTGGGTTGGATTCCCCAGTGCCACATAAATAGACAAAGCGGTAGTGGCACTTTTGCTCAAGTGCTAGAGTGCTAGCCTTGAGCAAAAGAAGCTCAGGGACAGTGCCCAGGCCCTGAGTTCAAGCCCCAAGACTGGAAAAATAAAAAAATAAAAATGAAAAAAGAAGGAAAATCCTCAGCTGTCACTTGATGCCAGTTAAAGAAGCAAGTTAAAACAGGAATAATGGAGTATAAGAACCACATGCAGATGTGGTTTAAGTGTTAAGAACCCACCTAACAAGCACAAGGCCCTGAGTTTAAACCCCAGTAACGCCAAAATTTACAAGTCCTGGCACTCTCAAACTTTGATTTTGTTTTGCTAAGCGCAAAGATAAAGTATTAAAATACTAGCAGATTCATATAGGATTCCAGAAAAGCTAAGAAATGAGTGTAATGCTTCTTGTTTTAATCAACCGAAGTATTAGAATGAAGTCATATAGTTAGTAAAAGGCAAAAGATTTATACAATATGAAGAGAAACCAGAGCATTGAGGTCATATACTTAGATACCAACTAATTTAACGGTCAGTTCTACAAAATCCATTAATGAAATATAGCTCTAAGCGAAGCACCTACAGAGTTTATACATCTTATAAATGACCCCTCCAGAGCCATACCTGAGGTGAAAGGGCCCCCAGGGATGTAGAAAGATCCAACCATGATACCAACAATGGCAGCAATTTTGAAAAACCAAAACCTATTAAAATATAAAAATGCACTTGTGAAATGCTAATTTTCATCCTATACAAAGAAAAATGGCTGAACGCAAAGATGAAGTCAACAGCTTTTCCATCCTGTCTATAGACTTACTTCTTCATTTGACATGCAGTTATTTCATCCAATATTTCATACAAAGTATGATAGTCTCATAAAAAATATGCCATTCACATTATGAAAAAAAAGATGTAAACTCATATCTTCCTACTTTTAGGACTGAAAGGTAAGGATTTTTCTAGAATTATGAGGAGTTCTAACAGTGTTATCTACATACATTTAACTTATCAGACATGTGAGAGAAATCCATTTATAACATGTGACATAACAATCTTGCCTACAATCATGCTCATTACAGGCTTAAAGCCAGGACCAAATCTGACTTTCATTCCATCATCTGTAGTAACAGCCTTGAACAACTAAATAGAAAGTATCAGGCTTTAGAGTTGGCTGGATTCTGAGCTTCAATCTTCTTTGGTTGAGAAATCTTAAGCAACGTATTAAACCTTTCTGAAATTCAGTTACTTCATCTATAAAATTGGGATGAGAATAGACTGAAAATTTACAAAACTCCCTCAGTTTTCAAATAACAGATAAATGTAAAGAGGAACTGGCAATCAGGAGTGGGAAGCAACACAATCAATATACATAAATATTTTTTTCATGGTTTTATCTTTTTTTTTTGGGTCCGGTCGTGGGGCCTGAACTCTGGGCCTGGGTGCTGTCCCTCAGCTCTTCAGCTCAAGGCTAGCGCTCTACCACTTGAGCCATAGTGCCACTTCTGGCTTTTTTCTTTTTGCTTATGTGGTGCTGGGGAATTGAACCCAGGGCCTCAGGCATGCAAGGCAAGCATTCTACCAATGAGCCACCTTTCCAGCCCCTCATGGTTTTATCTTTTTTTGTAGGTTTAAAAAATATATCAAGCCAGGCACTAGTAGCTCACACGTAGCTATTCAGGAGGCTGAGATCTGAGGATCACAGCTTGAAGCCAGCCCAGGCAGAAAAGTCCCCATATCTCAAATTAACTGCTTAAAAACTGTGGAAGTGGTGCTATGGCTCAAGTGGTAGAGTACCAGCCTTGAGCACAAAGACGCTCAGGGACAGCACCCAGGCCCTGAATTCAAGCTCTACAACCAACAACATTTATTTTAAACAATAGAAGTGTTTGTGTGTGCAAGCACGTGCACATATTGCCTAGTACAGTATCTGTTGAAAAGGTGCTCAATGAAATTCTAGGTACCTTAAGCAAAGATATTAAAAAAAAAAAAAAAAAAAGCAAAACAGGACAAGGAGATTCTCCAGCCCATCTTTTCTGAATTATAGGACTCCAAATGAAAATTAACAGCAAACCAAGTTAATTTCACATGTACAATAGTTCAGAACTACATCTGGACCACTGACATATATATTCTACTATTTCCATACAAATGGCAACATGACCTGCTGAAAGACAGGAAGAGTCATACCATAAAAAAAGAGTTAATCATCAATCTTACATACCCATTGTGTATTGCTGCTCTTGGATCTTTGCTTGTTTTTACTTTTATCATGAGCAAAAAGAAGGCAAAGAAAAAGATGGCAAGGGCAAAGTTGATCCGATACACAGCTTTATAACCAACCAGCACATCACAATCTGATTTTGTATCCACCATTTTGATTTGGAATTCTCCATCACAGAATCCAGGAATCTGGAGGGGAGGGAATAATTTCATTAGACGGAAATAAAATTCAGAGATCTTATTGCACTGTAAAAGCTTAGATTTATAATACCAACCACTTTAGGAACCATTAGGTATGAATTTTCTCTCTGACTTCCAACTAATAATCTCATTGCCAAATAGTATAAATAATTTAGTCAAGAACTAAAAATGGAATGAGTGTGGTGGGCATACTTGTAATCTTGGCATTTGGGAAACTGAGGCAGGATGATTTTGAGTTCTAACCAGGGCTACATAGTAAGTTTAAAACCAGCTTTGACAACTTAGTAAAATATTATCTAAATAAATAGGGGGATAGGAGTGTAGCTCAGTGGTAGAATACACACACATAGCATGGGTGATGCACTAGGTTTAAACCTCAGTAGCAGCAGAAGAAAGTGCTTTCCTAAGCATTTATGCTAGTGAGGTTATCTCAATTTTCTTATTAGATTTTCTAGCTATAACAAACTTCTTCCAAAAGCACAGGGCTAGCCTAGCTGAAAGCTTAAACCTACAAGCAAAGAAAATATCAGTCATTTTTCCAGTCCTGGGGCTTGAGCTCAGAGCCTGGGCACTGTCCATAAGCTTCTTTTGTTCAAGGCTAGCACTCTACTTGTTAAGCCTTGCCAGAAAACCACACAGACATCCAGGCACAAAGAACAAAGAAAGATTTACTGCCAGCAAAGGGATTGGCAGGGCAAGGCAGCAAGGCCACTTGAGAAGCAGTCCCATCAGTGTCGGAGGTGATCTTTATAACCTGGAGGGGTTAGGAGGCAGGGACTTCATCATGGCAGGCTAGGATTTATGGCAGCTGCCCAAACAGCAGATAAGGGGCTGCAGCTTCCCAGACTGAAGGTCACTTTAAGGGGTCCTGTTACCTTATATGGTAGTAACTGCCCCAATGAAGTGCCATCTCAAGGTAAAGCAGGGAGAAGGCCGATTATTTACCGCCAGCACTAAATGGGCCTGATTCTCTATTTACTGCCTGCACCAAACAGGCCTATTGATGAACTCTTTGGGAAAGATGCCTGCAAGGTCCTAGGAAAGGAACATAAGCTATGAGAAAGGAGCCATTTGAACTAACACCACCACTTGAACCATAGAGCCAGTGCTACTTCCAGTTTTCTGATGGTTAAATGGAGGATAAGAGTTTCATTGGGCTGGGAAGATGGCTCAGCGGTAGAGTGCTTGCCTTGCATGCATGAGGCCCTGGGTTCGATTCCTCAGCACCACATAAGCAAAAAGAAAAAAAAAAAGAGTTTCATGGACTTTCCTGCCCAGGTTGGCTTTGAATGTGATCCTCAGATCTTAGCCTCCTGAAGAGTTAGGATTAGAGGCATGAACCACTGGTGCCCAGCTCCCTGAATCTTTTTATTTTTATTTATTTTTTTTGGGGGTCCGGTCGTGGGGCCTGAACTCTGGGCCTGGGCGCTGTCCCTCAGCTCTTCAGCTCAAGGCTAGTGCTCTACCACTTGAGCCACAGCGCCACTTCCGGCTTTTTTCTTTTTGCTTATGTGGTGCTGAGGAATTGAACCCAGGGCCTCGAGCATGCAAGGCAAGTGCTCTACCACTGCGCCACCTTCCCAGCCCCTTATTTTTATTTTTTTTATAATTTTTTATTGTGACTAAGTGATTACATAAATTTCACAGTATTGTGAGATAGTGGTACTTAGTAAAATCACAAACAGTTTAACCTTCATGAGGCAAAGTGTCATTATTGTGGTCTATGAGCTTTGACAATACAACTATTTCTTCCACATCGGGTGATATGTTCATTTCTTTCCTTTTGTTTAGTGTAATCTGTTCCCTCTTTCCCTCTAATTCTCTACCTCCCATGGCTGCCCAGTGCAGCTGATGGGCCTCTCTGTTGTGTTTTCCCAGGTTTCCCTCTGATTCTGTGTCCTCCTCTGCCAAAGTCATTTTTAATATCTGTTTTCTGTGGGTTGTTACACTGGAACCTGAAGATGCACATTCTGACTACCTTTATTTCCGGAGAAGGGCTAATCCCTGGTATTATAAATCTTAGCCACATACAAAAATAATTTAAGCCACTTGGGAGGTGGAAGAAAGAAAATTGTGAGTCTGGACTACACAGAAGACTCTCTCTCAAAACAAACAAACAAGCAAACAAAAAAGCCAGGAGCTGGTGGCTCACGCCTATAATCCTAGCTATGCCTATAATCCTAGCTAATCAGGAGGCTGAGATCTGAGGATCACGATTCAAAGCCAGCCCAGGCAGGAAAGTCCGTGAGACCCCTATCTCTAATAAACCACTAGAAAAAAAAACCGGAAGTGTGGCTGTGGCTCAAGTAGTAGAGCACTTGCTTGAGCTTAAGAGCACAGGGATAGTGCCCAAGCCCAAAGTTCAAACCCCACGATTGACAAAAAACAAACAAACAAAAAAAAACACTAGGGCTGGGAAGGTGGCTCAGTGGTACAGCACTTGCCTTGCATGCTTGAGGCCCTGGGTTCGATTCCTCAGCACCACATAAGCAAAAAGAAAAAACCCGAAGTGGCGCTATGGCTCAAGTGGTAGAGCACTAGCCTTGAGCTGAAGAGCTGACAGACAGCGCCCAGGCCCAGAGTTCAGACCCACGACTGGACCCCCCCCCCAAAAAAAAAAAAAACAACCCAGCCAGGCACTGTTCAGGCCTGTAATCCTAGCTACTTAGGAGGCTGGGATCTGAGGACTACAGTTTGAAGCCAGCCCAAGCAGAAAGGAAAGTCTGTGAGACTTTTATCTCTAATAAACTACTCAGAAAAAAGCCAGAAGTGGTGCTATGGCTCAGGTGGTAGAGCGCTGGACTTGAGCAAAAGCTCAGGGACAGCATCCAGATCTTAAGTTCAAGACCCAGGACCAGCAAGAAAAAAAAAAGAAAGAAAGAAAGAAAGAAAAGGAAACCGTAGTAACAATAATGCTGCAATTATAATGATCTTGATTAATTGTAATGGTAAGAATAATTATAACCATAATATTCCAAAATACATAAGTAATAAAAACCAGTGTGCTGTTATTTCTACTCACTCTTTTCAGTTCAGTTTCTATCTTTTCTGTCTGCATGATACAACATACGAGAGTGCCCAGAAAGAGAATAGCAGCATAGATGATCCGAGTCACAGTGGAATTCTTACTGATGGGACAGCAACCGCAGAGCAAGCATGATGCACCACTACAGAGGCATGGAACCTGTCATAGAACACCAGAGGTCATTTGAGATCTCCTTTATTGCAAAGACGATGCAGAGAAGATGAGACAAACCAAGGTTTGACAGTTTTATCTGCAATTATGTGGTTTCAAGGCAAGGGTTCCTTGCATATAGTAGAGTACTGTAATGCTAGCATTGAGGAGGCTGAGGCAGGAGGATCATGAGTTCAAGACCCCTGGGCTACATAGCTAGACTCTGTCTCAACTGACAGAAAACCATAGGCTCTGGAGTCAATATTATTTCCGCCACTTGAAAATAGAAACAACCCAAAGGACCATGGATTGGAAAGATAAAAGACAATGGGACATGTCCATATCATGCATTAGTCGGTAAAGGAATTTAGTACTGATATATGGCACAATGTGCATGAACTTCAAAAACACCACAGTGAGTGAAAGAGGCCAAACACAAAAACATCACTGTTGTTCCATTTACTTTAAGTATCCAGAATGGTTAAATCCAAAAACACAAAGACGGGCTGGGAAGGTGGCTCAGTGGTAAAGCCCTTGCCTTGCATGCTTGAGGCCCTGAGTTCGATTCCTCAGCACTCCTAAGCAAAAAAAAAAAGCCGGAAGTGGTGCTGTGGCTCAAGTGGTAGAGCGCTAGCCTTGAGCTGAAGAGCTGAGGGGCAGTGCCCAGGCTCAGAGTTCAGGCCCACGACTGGACCCAAAATAAAAAAAAACAAAAACAAAAACAAAAACACAAAGACTACTAGGGGCTGGGGGGGGGGGGGGAGAGAGGGAAATGCTGAGTGAGTGCTCAGTAGTGATTAAAAAATATAAAATGAAAATATAATAGGGGCATGAAATACATCGTGAGTAGGATCACAGAAAGAACTTTGGGCATTTGTTTTTTGTTTGTTTGTTTGTTTTGGGTCCGGTCATGAGGCCTGAACTCTGGGCCTGGGCACTGTCCCTTAGCTCTTCAGCTCAAGGCTAGCACTCTACCACTTGAGCCACAGCGTCACTTCCAGTTTTTTTCTTTTTGCTTATGTGGTGCTGAGGAATCGAACCCAGGGCCTCTGGCATGCAACGCATGCGCTCTACCACTGAGCCACCTTCCCAGCCCCAGGCATTTGTTTTTTGAAGGAATGACTCCCACCCTGTTTTCCCAGGTGCAGAGAGATACCAGGCAAGCCACCAAAGTGCAGACTGCCTAACCAAGCAGGGCAATCAGACCTGAGCCAGGCTGTAAACATTTCATTGTGGGACTAGCCTATAAGGCTAAGGCCAAGCTGTGAGGCCAGGAAAGGGTTAAGAGGTTGGAAGACTAAAACTGTATCCTGTGAAGGTCAAACTGTCTAGGCAAGACAGATGTAGAGCTGTTTGAACATTAAAAAAGCTTGGGACCTTGGGTAAGGGAATACTTACCCTATTCTCTGACCAAATGTGCAGTCACCCCCCCCCCCCCCATACTAAACTCATATAACCCGTCTCCTTGCTCAGACCCTATAAAAACCTTCATCCAACCCTGTACTGCTGACACAGTCTCCAAGCTGATGTGAAGGCTGTGTCCCTCGCTGATATATCTCATCTCATCTCATCAACAGTCCTCGCCTGTGGAAGTTCAGCCAGTTTCCTTCCTTTTTCCTCCATTTGTCTAACAGGTTTACAATACAAAAAGTCGTGGGGCGATGCAGACAGAGACCTACAAAGCCCAGGACCAAGCAATGTTGACAACTATCAGCATGCTGGGCACCAAGGGCTCATGCCTGTAATTCTAGCTACTCAGGATGGCAGTTCAAAGGCAGCACAGGCAGGAAGATCTTGGAGATTAGAGTCTCCAAGTAACTACCAAAAAGCTGGAAATGGCACTGGGGTAGAGCATTAGCCTTGGTATAAAAGCTCAGGGACAGTACCCAGGCCCTGAGTTCAAGCCCTAAGACACGTGTATACACACACATAAAAGAAACAAGTCCTAAAACCAGCACACACACAAAAAGAAATAGTGGTAGAATCCTTAGTTTATTACATCAATTAGGGAATTAATAATTAGATAATTTCAAGGAAACTTACAACTCTGAAACATGTTTATGAGAGAATTCAGCCTATTCTTCCCGAGATCCTAAAATTTCCTTTTAAAAATGCTTACTGTTTATTGACTGCATTCATTTATTTACCTTATCCTCACAAAGCTCCTGCAGGTAAGAATGTTAAGGTATATGCTTTCAGATAAATGTTGATGAATGTTAGGTTTGCTTAGCCAAGGTATCTCCATCTTGAGGCCCCAGGAATTTTGCTTAAGGTCACCCTGAAATAGAAAACTTCCCCTTTTCCTCTCACCCCCCACACCCCTCAAGTTAACGTAGCTAACACCCACCCGGACCACAAGTAATATCTCGCATCCTAGTTGACCACAGGTGACATTCCCAAGGGACCTCAGACTATATACATATCCTTAGTTACCGTCCCTCCCTCCCCCCCCCCCCCCCCAGCAACTGAACCTCACTTTCCCTTCTTTTTTTTTTTCTTTTTTTTTTTTTTGTCGGTTGTGGGGCTTGAACTCTGGGCCTGGGCGCTATCCCTCAGCTCTTCAGCTCAAGGCGAGCGTACTACCACTTGAGCCACAGTGCCACTTCCGGTTTTCTGGTGGTTTATTGGAGAGAGGAATCTCACGGTCTTTCCTGCCCGGGCTGGCTTTGAACCGCGATCCTCAGATCTCAGCCTCCTGAGTAGCTAGGATTACAGGCGTGAGCCACCAGCGCCCGGCTCACTTTCCCTTCTTCCTGCCCGGCACCCATGGACGGTTAACCCCCTTCCCGCTTGCCCCGTAAGCAGTTGTGGGGCTCCAGTTCTTTGCTGGAGACTACCCCTCCGCAGGCTTTTCTCCCCCCAACAAACCTGCGCTGGCGGGCAGTTTGCCTACTTTCTGAACCTCTTTGTATTCTAACAACGAGGTACTAAAATGTTCAGATTCTGTTTAAGTTCCGATTCTGCATAATAAGCCACCTTCCATCAGAGCAGCAGCGGGCCTATAGTAAACATGCAGATTCTGCCTCGTACTCGGTGGCTTTGGCAAGTCGCGAGCCAGAAATATGATTTTCAAGACACCCCAAATTAAATGACGCCACCATAAAGCAGGGCTTCAAAAGGAACCCGAGAGCCCCCCCCCGCCCGAGGCGCGCTCCACTTCTCACACGTCCTCCCGCCCAAACTGAGCCCAAAGTCCGGAAGGCGGGGGCGGGGCGATCGGAATTGTAAACAATGGCGCTGGGCCTCCCACATTCCTCCCCGGCAGTCGGCCGGCCACAGCCCCGCCGCAGGCTCCACAGCGGGGACGTCGCAGGCTGGACCACAGACACCCCCGGAAGGCCACGCACCTCGGGCCCACTCTCGCTTCCCTGGGGGCCTCAGAGGCCTAGCGGCTCCAGAGACCCCCGCACCCCGGGCCCATTCTCGGTCCCCACTGCCCGGGCCTCAGAGGCAGAGCTCCCCAACACCGTTCACCCCACAAATCGTAGATCCTAGGAGGACACAAGACTTCCAAACTCACCCAGCTGGCGAGAGAGAAGATGCCCAGCACGGCCCCCATGGTGCTGGTGGTGATGGAAGCGGCCGATCCTCAGGCTCGGACGGGGTGGTGAATACCGGCTGAGGCGTCGCCTCAGAAACCCCACGGTTTCTCAAGCCGGAAATAAGGCCTTCGCACGACGCGTCATTCCCGTCACTGCGTGGCCCCGCCCACCACCCTCCGACGCACAGCCCACCCCCAGAGGGCACCAGTCATTGGTTAGGTGGGAAGGCGGGGCCAAATATGGGGCGGGGTTAAACCGAAGGAAAGGCTGAGCGAAATGTAACTGGAGTTTTAACAGCTGTCAAGGTGTCATTTCTTCCCCAGTGTTAGTTTGAAAAGTCTCTGAAAACACATTAAAGCAGCACAACGGGGTGAATTGCACGGTAATTCTCAGTGTCTGGCCTGACAACTGAAGTTATCTGCAGACGATAACAGTTTAATCTTGGCTGTAGAGACTTGTTTATGGAGAGATGGAAGAGCCAAAATTCTCGTGAAGCCATTTACTTTTAACTTTTGTGTGTGTGTGTCAGTCCTGGGGCTTGAACTCAGGGCCTGGATGCTGTCCCTGAGCTCTTTTGCTGAAGGCTTTACCACTTTGAGCCACAGCTCTACTTCCGGGTTTCAGGTGGTTAATTGAAGACTAGAATCTCATGGGGGACTTTCTTCCACGCGCTGGCTTTGAACCTCGATCCTCAGATCGTAGATCCTCCTGCATAGCTAGGATTACAGGTGTGAGCCATGCTTGCCTAGTTTTAACTCTTGAAAGATGACCTAACTTTCATGTAACTAGAGGCTAAACGTTTTGCTGAACGTTATCACAAAGCACATCAGACCTCAACCATAAAGCTAGGGATGTTGTAACATCTGAAACATATAGATTTCCTCACTTTGCCAGCCTATCTGATCTCCCACGCATGTAAAAGGCGAAGAATTGATGACTTACTGTTTTCTGAATTATAAAACTCTGTAGTTGATGTATGTTAATTTTAAAAAAAAAGTTTAAAAAAATAAAGTTCATGTAATCTTTTCCACAGTGGAATATGTCATTCAGGATAACTTCAATCTAAACTCTCAGTCCCTGGACACTCATGTTTGGATCAGAATAAATGTGTCTCTTATTTTCTTGAAAGCAGTCATTATTTTATGTCAACAATCTTCATAGAGTTTTCAATCCAGTTAAGAGACTTGACAGTGGGCTGGGAAGGTGGCTCAGTGGTAGAGTACTTGCCTTGCATGCATGAGGCCCTGGGTTTGATTCCTCAGCACCACATAGGCAGAAAAAGTGGGAAGTGACGCTGTGGCTCAAGTGGTAGAGGGCTAGCCTTGAGCTGAAGAGCTGAGGAACAGTGCCCAGGCCCAGATGGCGGGCCCCAGGACTGACAAAAAAAAAGACTTGACAGTAACTGGTAAATATATCAAGTCATAGTATAATGAGTACTATGAATTGGCATAGGGGATTACTTTTTCAATAAAAGTATTGATGAGTGTCAGGGAGGGTACTTGCTAAACACATGGAAGGCTCTGGATCCAATCTCCATCATTGGGAGAAAAAAAAAAAAAAGTACCTACTGCCTCCAATGTAAGGGGAGGGGGACCTGGTTTGAGGGGTTTTTTTTGATGCTGTTCCTGGAGCCACTTTGTGTTCAAGGCTAGGGACGAACCACAGTGCCACTTCCAGCCTTTTCTAAGTAGTTTATTGGAGAAAAGAGTGTCAGACTTTTCTGCCCAGGCTATCTTTGAACCATGATCCTCAGATCCCAGCTTCCAGAGTAGCTAGGATTACAGGTGTGATCCGCTGGTGCCCAAATTGATTGGTTTTATTTTCAAACCTCGGACACTATATCCCATGAAATAGAATATTCTGTACCTGATCTTAACCAAAAAGGCAATCAGAATAATCTGACGGAAAGGAAGTTGACTTCATAGACAGTTAAAAAAAAACAGAAACAAACAAAAAATGTATTTAGTGCTTCAAGTGTGCTGGGATTACAGACATGCTCCACCATGCCTGGCTCACATCTTTAGTTGGGGATCAAGGGTATAACTAAATGGTAGAGCACTTGTCTAACATATGCAAAGTTCTGGGTTAGACTCCTAGTAATACAGGAGGAAAAATGTTATAACCAAATCTATGACCAGGGTCAAGAAATAGGGTCTTAAAAAAAAAAAAGGTTGTTCAGCTGGGCACTAATGGCTCACGCCTATAATCCTAGCTACTTGGGAGGCTGAGATCCTGAGATCCGAGGACGTTAGTTCAAAGCCAGCCCTGGCAGGAAAGTCCATGAGACTCATCTCCAATTAACCACTCCAAAACTGGAAGTGGTGCTGTGGCTCAAGTGGTAGAGTACTAGCTCTAAGCTGAAGAGATCAGGGACAGTACTTAGGCCCAGAGTTCAAGCCCATGACTGACAAAAAAAAAAAGTCTTTTCAAAATCATCTTTGGGGACATGATAATGAGACGGTATATAATGAGGAAAATGAGGCTTGGTGGGGGCAACTCAGAAACAGGATATTTCGAAACACAGAAGCACTGTGTTTGCTTCAAAGACAACAAGATGCTTTCCTTCCCCAGGGATGCATTCCTCACCCCAAGAATGAACAATTGTCTGGCAGGATGTATGCCTTCCTGAGAAAAATGCCTCCCCCAAATGTAAGCAGCCTCCTACCCAAAATGCAGACAAGGGGACACCTTCCTTATCTCAAGGACCTTAAGGACCTGTTTTATGGCAGGATGCTTAAATCCCCTTAAAGAATGTCCCAAACGTCCAGAAACCCAGAAAATCAAGTGTAATACCAGGAATGATTAGAGCAAAGATAACACTCCTATGTTTGTATAATTTTAAGTCAGACCCTTTGCCTTTACCATATAAATACCGCTAACAGCCAAATTGCTGTGTGCCTGTCTTTCCTGTAGAACATCCACATTCTGTTAGCATATGTCTGTTTTTCTGTTTGTCTGTCTGCTTGCCTGCTTGCTTACTTGCTCAGTAAAGCTCCACCTAGTTTTCTTACCATTATGACTTGTCCAGAAATTCTTATTTTGCAATTGAAGTCAAGGGCCCTAAGTGAAAAGTTGCTTTTAGAGAGAAATTTCACCAATCCTCACTTGCATCTGGTGACAAACTGTATTTCTAGGCTACACAGGATTCATTGCTAGTTTCGGGAATATTAGGCCAGAGGTTCACCTCTAGGTAGTCCCAACACATCAGGTCTGGCCACTCATTCCGGAAATCAAATGGGAATAGTAGCGGTGAAAGGCAAGCAGGGAATTTAAGGGAATTTAATTTCCAGAAGGATCACGCTGTGAATGCAAAGGGAGACCCAGATCCTCAGTCCAGTCTTTGAGAACTAATGTGAGCTCTAGGTTTAAATAGCAGAAGAATGGGGGCAGGTGGTGAGATATTTACATAATTAAACCCTCTAGGGCAAACTGTGGTCCCTCTTGGTTTTGTCAGGGAAATTACCTTTGCTTTCCATTTCTGGGATATCTCAGTGTTTATCTGTCAGAATCCCTGAGGGGACAATTCAGTTCCCAAATGCTGTCTGCTCTTGTTTAGGACTAGGGAGGAAGTTTCCTCTTGAGGGAGTTCTGTCAGTGAATCTAACTGTAGATTTAAGATAATGACTGGGCAGGTGTTGCTCTAGTGGTCTGAGGATGTTGTAAAAAAACAAAGTATCTTAGATATTCTTACCTTGGTGACTTCAGACCTGGAGGAAGAGAAAGATAAATTTAGGCCTAATCAGCCTATCAGCAGTTTCTAGATAGAAACTTCCTAAATGTTTAACATTCTCTTGGTAGAGTACCTTTATCCAAAGGAGACAAAAGGCAAGTGAAGGCACAGACTGTCAAGCTTTTTTCCTGCTCTGTATTTGCTATGTACAGTCCCAACTACAGACTCAAAGGTGGTTTTAGCACAAGTAGTTTGTAATTCCCTGTTGTACTAGGTATATCTGTAGGCTATCCCTATGTACCCTAGGTATCTCTAGATGTATAGTTCCTTGGGACATTTGTTAAATTTGCTCAGCTGCATGGCCTGGCTCAAAGGTTATACCATCCCTATGTCATTTTTGCCTGGTGAATTGAAGAATCCATTTTCCCAGGCAATAGCTTAATATATGTGTAGGCCATGGTCTCCTGAATCCATTTTGAAATGCTTTCTGGTGTATATGCCCGGTGCTAGGGATGCAATAATGTATGGCCTCCAGTATGCTAGGCAAGCATTCTACCATTTGTGTGTTGTTGTTGTGGGGGGGGGGGAGGGGGAGGGGGAGGGGGACGGGGAGTGACACTCAAGGCCTGGGCCCAGTCATTCCCTCCATCAATTTTCTAGTCTATACTTTCAGTCTAGAGTTTAGTAGTTAGTTAATGGTTGCTGCGTCCTTGCCTAGTATACTGGAGGCCCTCAGTTCGCTCTCCAGGATCACCAAAACAAAACAACCTACAATGAAAAAAAAAGAGGCGGGGGGGGGGGGGGGGTGGAATACAATCTAACAAGCTGAGGCCCTTCTCAGGTGACAGAGATGTAAACTGAGGTACAAGCGGCATCGGAGCACAAGTCCCCGCCCTCGGTTTCGCAGTTCCCCCTTTTCCACCTTCCAACGTGCCAAGGTCTGGGGCTGCCAACCCCAGCCCCAGTAGCTCCCGGTTTAGAATCCCGATTTCCTTCTCTTGACCCCTCCTCCACCGGGGCTCGGCAGGGGCGGAAAAGAACGCGGGATCCTTCTGGTCCCTTACGAGCCGCCGTAGCGCGAGCGCGGCGGGAGCTCGGCCGCCCCGGTCGCCTAGGCAACGGCTCCGCTGCGGGCTGCGGGCGCCTGGCGGCCCCCGGGAGGCGCTGCGCGCCGGCAGCCCGGGCACCGCGAGGCGGAGAGGCGGCAGGTGAGCGAGGGCCGAGCCGGGCCGTCGCGGCCCAAATGCGCCCAGGCCAGGCGTCGACTGTCCCGGGCGAGGGCCCGGGCCGCGGGGGACCCCGGGGAGAGGACGGAGGGGGGGGATCGGACCTTTGTCCCCTCAGCCACCGGCCGTGGCGCCTCTTGTGCCCTTTGACCCCACCCCGCGGTTGTGTGGGGTGCGTTGTTGGCAGTTGGATGTCTGTCTGTCTGTCTGTCTGTCTGTCTGTCTGTCTGTCGGTCGGTCTATCTATCTATAGTGTATGATTTGGCCTCACTCGAAAGTTTCTTTTTTGGATTAAAAAATCAAAGCCCCTTCTTGCATAAGGGTCGACGAGGAAACTGAAAACTACAGATAATGTACGCGTTGGGCGTCTCTGGGGGCGCCCGGGAGATGATGTGGTTTGGGGGGGTGACCTGTCTTATAAGGTTGTTGCAAAAATAAGTTTATATTTAAAAGCCTTTCAGTCAGTCCTCAGTGCTTGGGAGCTTTTTTTTTTTTTTTTTAATCGTTACTACTACTACTACAAGGAGCATCACTGAGCATTTACTGTGAGCCAGGGCCCCGGCTGATCGCCAAGGGGTAAAAAAGTGAATGAGACATCTTGTCCTCAGGGGACTCTCGGGTGTAAGAGACAGATCAATAATCAAGAACTGGTTATGATTTGAGCTGTGATTGTGGACATCCAGAAGACACGAGGAAGATAAACCCAGAGGGAGATAACCTCAGATGTTTTTCTACTTGAGATGGTTAAAGAGAGATGGAGACATGAAGGCTGTCTTTTGCCAAAACAGGAGGCTGGCGAAGTGCTCAGAATTCAGGCAGAGAGAGGGATGTGCAAAGCCTTGGGGAGACAGTGCAGGCTTGTTGAGAATCTACAAGGATTTCAGGCTGACTGTAGGAGACAAGATACTGAGCTGCAGCCGTGATCTGGCTACTTGATGTCGGAGAGATAGCCACTGCCCCTCTTGAAAGATTTCTTTGTAAGATTTGCGGAGTTTGGGTTTTATTTAAGTGGCAGAGGAAGCCTTTAAAGGGTTTTAATCAGGAGGTGCATGTGTGCTTGGTCAGAAAGAAAATGATAAAAATGAAGATTTTTGTTATTTTCTCTTGATCTCATTACTCTTCCCATTTATTTTTTACTTTGCAACCTTCCATTTATGCTGATTCAAGAAGTAGCAATTGAATAATGTCTTTTTTCATTGTTATAACAAAATAATCTGAGACAGCGTAACTTTATAAAGAAAAGTTTATTTTGCTCATACCTGGAAGTTCTTGGGCCCACTTCTGAGGATGGCCTTCTTATTAGCAGATTCCCATGGTGGCTCTGTATCACATGATAAGAGACAGGAAGCATCTCTTCCACTTTCTCTTCCTCTTCTGTTTTTTGGGGACTGAACCCCCATGGCCTTACACATAAAGACTTCTGGCTCCAAGCTGCATCCCTAGCCTTTTTCCTCTTAACTAGCCATGGGGACTGCACCCTGACTCCCTTATCTAATGCTAAACACCCCTAATGGCCCCATCTCTAGAAACTATATTCAGATTCACTTTCTACCTTTTCTTTTTGTTGTTTTTGGGGTTTGAGCTCAAGGCCTCATGCTTGCTTGGCAGGCACTCTACTGCTGAACCACATTTTACCTCACAATAGAGATTAAATTTCAACACTACTGAAGGACACCTGCAAACCATAGTAAGTACCTATGGTATGGCAGGCACTGTGCAGCTACTCATGAACCGGTCACTACCCTCATGGAGATCACAGACTAGTTAGGAAAATGTGCATCAAACAAGTGGTTGGGTGATGAGAACCGTGGAAGAAAGCCTGTGGTGAGGTGAATACAGCCTTGTTTGGAGGTTCAGAGGGTCTGGATATAAAGTATTCTTAAGGGAGTTAGCTGTGTGGGGTGGGGAGAATGGTCAGGGAAGAGTTCCATATTCATGGAGATGAAAGCAGTCAGCTACAACTGGAACTTAAAGGTCAATACTGACCCAGAGGAGCTAGGCACTCCTGCAGTCCTGGCACTGGAGAGTTTGAGAGAGGAAGACTGTGAGTTGGAGACCATCCTGTGCTACATATGAAGACCTTGTCTCAACAAACACAACCATAAACACATTCAATTAGAGAGATTTTGTTGTTAAAGTCCCAGATTATGCAGGGTGACTGTATTTCATAATTCTTAGTAGAACAATTTATTTAATCTCACTAAGAAGTGGCCTAAGGAGGAACAAAACCAGAAGAATATAGTAATGAAGGCCAAAGGAGAGAGAGGTCTGCTTTGCTACGTGCTGCTGGAGATGTTTTTGAGTAAGATAAGTTAAAATATGTCTTCTGAATACTAAGTTTCAGAGGTCACTAGGGACCCCACTGAGCAGATCTGGTGAAATGGTGGGGGTGGAATCTATAATATCTGCAGCTTCCAAAGGTTCAATGTAATATATCAGTAGGATGAAGTTAAGTGGGATGTGAGAAAGACAGAGTGTAGGCAGCTCAAAGAAGGTTGGCTGGAAGGGAGGGGAGAGGGCTGGGGAGCGATTGAGGAATAAGGTGATGTGTGTGTGTGTGTGTATGTGTGTGTGTGTGTGTGTGTGTGTGTGTGTGTGTGTGTGTGTTTAAAGCCTCGGAGACTGCTGTAATGCGGTTGGCACAGAGTGGGTAGGAGGGAAAGGCTGAGAAGATATGAGAGCTGAACAGGAAATAGATAGCATAGATTTCCTGAGAAGGTGGAGTAGATAACTAAGAGAGTCTGATGGAGCCCACACTTTGGATGAGTAGGAGAGGCATGGCTTACAGAAGCACACCAATGAAATGCAGAAGTCACAAAGTAAACCATGGTGTGTGGGGAAAAAGCCATACTTTCATTATCAGTAGAGAGCAGTTTTTGAACTAGTACTGTGTTAAGCCCTTTTCTTGAACTAATTTCAATCCTATAATCTTTACTTAAAGAGATAGGTCCTTGTGAGATAGGTCCTATTATGATCCTCCATTTGTGTAAATGTGTGTGTGTGTGTGTGTGTGTGTGTGTGTTTGACAGTATAAGTGTTTGAATTCAGGAATTCATGATTGCTAGGCAAGTATCTACCACTTGAGCCATGCCTCCAGTCCCCATGTCCCATTTAAGGACAAAGAAACTAAGGTAAAAATGCTACCCAAAGGCACATTGTATTGGAATGAATCCTGTATTTTGGCCTGCCTGAGTCTAGACCATTTTCTCTAATCACTACGACAGATATAATTATCTATCATTGATATGATTATCTGCTGGGAAGATTCTAAAGAATTAAGTTAAAATACTTAGATGTGATAAGGTTAAGAGCAAAAGCGGTTACAAAATAGAGAAGAAGCTATGGCTTTTTCTTCTCCTTCTCTTCCTCTTCCTCCTCTAACCCTCCCTTTGTCCTCCCCTTTCTGTATCTCCTTTTCTTGGCACTAGGGATTGAACCCAGGGAGGCCCCCAAGCACACTCAGCATGTGAACCACTAAGCGGTACTCCCACCCCAAACAGTCCCTTTATGCCCGTAATAATAGTTGGAAAAGATAATTGTAGGTGAGATATCAGTTAGCAACATGAAAGGCATATACTTAGAAATAAAGCTAAACATGCCTAGTCAGTCTAGCCACATAGGCAAAGGGTAGGTTGGAGTTGGAAGTAGAAACACAGGATAGGAGTTAAGATGATAAAGTGGTACTTTTCCCATGTGGAAAATGGAATACTGTCTGGGCGCCAGTGGCTCACACCTGTAATCTGAGCTACTCAGGAGGCTGAGATCTAAGGATCACGGTTCAAAGCCAGCTGGGGCAGGAAAGCCTGTGAGACAAGTCTTATCTCCAATAAACTACTAGAAAACCAGAATTGGTGCTGTGGCTCAAGTGGTAGAGTGCTCCCCTTGAGCTGAAGAGCTGAGGGACAGCGTTCAAGTCCAGGCCCAGAGTTCAAGTCCCACAACTGACAAAAAAAAAAACCAAGAGAATGGAATACTGATGCTAGGAACAGAGATTGTAGAATCAGGCATCATGAGAAAGTATGCAGAGATGTCAACAGTGATGTTTTTATAATAATGAACAGCTGAAAACAGACTGGCTAAATTATGATGCAGTCATGTGATCAAGACTTCAGCCACTGAGGAAAGCTTAGGTGGGAGCTATACATAGCAGAGATGTTGCCTCATATGGTTTAGGTGTAAATAGCAGATTACAGTACAGTATGTTCCTAGGGTTGGTTTTTTGGGGTTTTTTTTTTGAGCGTACATATATTGATAGGAAAAAATTTCTTGGACTATTAGTTCTTTAAACATAAATGTTTAGTTGTGATAAAGCACACAGATTTATCAGTACAAACATTTTTAAATAGCAATTTTTGTTTTTCTGGGTTTTTTGGGGGGGGGGGTCCGGTTGTGGGGCCTGAACTCTGAGCCTGGGCGCTGTCCCTCAGCTCTTCAGCTCAAGGCTAGCGCTCTACCACTTGAGCCACAGAGCCACTTCCGGCTTTTTTCTTTTTGCTTATGTGGTGTTGAGGAATTGAACCCAGGGCCTCATGCAAGGTAAGGGTTCTACCACTGAGCCACCTTCCCAGCCCTTAAATAGCAATTTTTAAGTGTATAGTAGTGTAAGTATGCAGTAGCAATAAGTGAACCATGAATGAGTGAGGGACAACTATTTAATGCTTTCTACTTTGTGGATTTTCACCTATCCAGGGAGTCTCTGGAAGGTAACCCCCCCAACAGGTGAGGGATCACTGTATTCACAGACTGGTACAACCAGTCTCCAGAACTTGGTCATTTTACAAACTCAGATTCTACACTCATTGAACCACTCCCAATTTTCCCATTTTCCCTCTACAAGTTGCAGGCAACTACCATTCTGTTTTCTTTGTATGGGTTTCAGCACTCTGGGATCTCATATAAATGGAGTCATGCAAGTATTTGTCTTTTGTCATTGCCTTATTTCACTTACTGTCATGCCTCAAGATTCATCCTTTTTTTGTTGT